CGGATGTACTCAAATGGCATCAGAATCAGGGGCTTGCGTGGCATGCGCTGATCCTAAACTGACGATTAAAGTAGAGTGCACCCGCCAAGCTCTGCCGGGCAACGCTACGGGGCAAAGTGCACACGCATACGGCGCTGGATGCGGGGCTGTTGGCGCAGGGTGTGGCCTATCTGGCTTTTTTCCGAGAGCCTCGTCAGCGATTGCGCTCGGCCTACAACCACGCCCGGTACGGGGGACTTGGATCTGGCCATCAGAGGCCGAGCGTTTGCTGGGCCACCTGCGGTCTCAAGCCTGGCCTCACCAGACTTTTGTCGGCATAGGCATGCGTTTGGACTGCAAAACCGGAGCGCCATGCTGAGGGTGATGCGGGATGCGAGTCTGGCGGAGTGGGTGACACACCCGTTTATCACAGCGTGTCAAACGCGCGTCCTGAACGGTCATCATTGTGCAGCACCCTTTGACATTGGCCCGTAGGTTGATAGGACCGCCCTCTCCGAGAGGATGCGCGTCAGCTCATGCCACCGCTTGCATTGTGTGATCTGCTATGCATGAGCAGGGGTCAGTATCAACAAGCGCTGCAGCGGCTGTGGGACTTGGCGTTTGTCGGATTGGTCGAGGAATGGGATCGGAGCATCTGCTTGCTGCACCGACAATTTGGCATTCGAGCAGATGAACACGAGTTTTTGAATCTGCGCCCCGATGCCGGGCATCAATACCGGCGACAATTTCGCCAGGCCTCACAGGCCGAAGCCGAGGTTCGTTTTTGCCACTGGTGTTAGCACACGGTGCACGCGCGTATGCACTGCGGGTGTAGTCGACGTCTCGTTTAGAAGGCACATCTGAATGCACGCCTTTGTACTAGGCGCTACCCGACGACGTGGACCCATATGATGCCCGTTTTTATGCGGAAGCCCGTGCTTTGGTAGAATTCCGCTGGGCAGAGTTTGGAGTGTTGTGAGTAGCCTGACTGGTGCGCTTGCTCGTTCTTTTCAAAGCGAAACGAGTTGATGGTCATTTTTAAAGACTCGATTGGGCAGATGGCATACAATGGCACAGGGTTAAGATATAGCATGATGAGAAGCGTACATGGAGAAAAGCGCACGAAAGTCAAACATGACCGTGCCACTGAGCTCTGGGGCACGGAACAAAATGATACATGGAGGGGCGAGAGTGGGAAGCGACGGTGATTCAACCTCCCAACGCAGGGCTAAGACACAGAGACGCACACAGAGCACATCAAGAATAGAATGAACAATAGAGGGAAAACAGGATACTAGGTCATGAGATTAAAATGGAATATGTGGATCGGCGGGCGCATGCACGGTGGTCAATGGCCTGTTTATTGACCAGCAAAGAGGGATTGAAGATCCGCCGCTGTATAGCCGTTCTCAAAGGTGGCACTGGCACGGTTGGTGGTGCGCGAGGTCGAGTTGGAGCGGGGCAGCGTGGGATCGCGATCTACGTCTTCCTCGTCTTCGGGCTCTGGAGAAACGGGGCCGGCTTGAAAGCGCTCTTCAATGAGGGCCCGGTTGGCGCGTTGCACGCGCTTCCAAGTGTCGGTCCGAGAGACGCTCTTGCCCACGACGGCTTCCTCTGTTGACTTGCTCTTGGTGGCCTTGAGCCGCTGCAGTTCTGCCAGGCTTGCCATGATGATAAATGTTCAAAACGCAGAGGTCGGTGTAGAGCTATCGTTGTTGACGGCGTCTGCCCACCCCGGATCAAGGTCCAGATCCAAAACAGCACCAACAGCAGCGCAGGAGGACAAACCAATAGAGACAACGATACACTCGACGAAGACGCTGCCACACTTGAAATCCAACGCCGTGCTCCGAACACACAGAGAGAGACAGAGAGAGAGAGTGTGTGTGTGTGTAACGCCGCTGTCAATCGTAAAATGCACTGTCCGTTTTGCTCTCTCTCTCTCTCTCTCTCTTTTTGTATCAGACTCTACACAAGCAAAAACCAAAAACCGCGCATCAGTGACCCTCTCTCTCTCACTCTGTCTGTGTGCTCGCGCGCTTTCCAATACGTTACCCCCCTTTATTGACAATACCCCCAAACCCAGTGTCACATCTGCTACACATGAGTAAGGCACGAGACGCTTGAAGGTGTTAAAGTGTAATTACCATGGTGTGTGTGTGTGTGTGTGCGTGTTGGAAATGAACCAAAAACACCAATGCTTGGCGTCACAGTACATCAACAACCAAGCACCAAGCCTTGAGCACCAAGCATAGCGTCGTGCACTTGGGAGGACCCGTTTCCAGTCAATGACGGCGGTACAAGTATTTTACTTTTATTGGCTCATGTGACTTTTGCGGCTGTCAAGTGAGAAAAAGCGAAAAGAAAGCAGCAGCTCAACTCGACATTCATCAACAACCACAACACTGCCGTTCGGTTCAAATCGGGCTTTGCATCACTCTTGAACGACCGCCCTTTTGCTCCAGACTCGTCGACAAGCAACATGACGTAAATACATACAAAACAACCCCGGGGTTAGGGCATGTCGGGGCGTGCTGACGAGATCAACACGCAGTCAAAAGAAATAAAAAAAAAGACCAAAAAAAAACAACAAAAAAAACAAGGAGAGCCATGAGAGATCAAGTGGTTTTCAAGCCGTCCATCACTCGCACACTCACACATTCTCTCTCTCGCGCTCGCTCTCTAGTTGGTGCTGTTGGTGTCGCGCAGGCAAAACTCGTCCACGGCAAAGCCACCCTTGCCAATTTTACCGTCGGCAATGGCCAAGGAAAACAGAATCACCACAGACAAGACCGTCAACCCGCCCAGCAAGAACATGAGCAGCGACTGTTTTTGGTATTTTTGCACCAGATGATTCACAACCTGTGACCAACGACAAGATCAAAGATGAGACGACGCCGTTTCGCCGTCAACAAGTGTCAAGATGTCACGAGTTGGAGTGCACGCTCGCACCTTCTGACCCATCAAAGCTCCGGCAAACCCAGACGCCATGACTGCGGCCAATTCAGCACCGTGCAGCTTGCCAAGAATCAAGTACTGCGTCCAGACGGACCCAATAAAGGTGATGAGCCACGATAACAAAGCGTACATGCGGGGCCTTGGGGGTGGATACGAGCGCGCGCAGCCAAACCTGGAAGGTGCTGGCGCTGGAGGTGAAAATGATCATAAAGCTCGAGGTCGTTGTCGTCGTTTGGGGATTCAAGCCCATGCTCAGCATCAACGGAGACTTGATCAGGCCTCCGCCCTGACAGAGGAGATGGTCGGTGCAGGAGAACACGCGTCAATGCACGCCGTAAAGCTTCATCAGAGAACAACCAGCACATCTGGTGGAAAGGGAGAAGAGAAAAAAAACTTACGATACCCATCATTGAAGCACACAGGCCAGCAAAAAAGGCCATCTCGGGATAATAGTACAAGTTGCGACCCTCCCACATCACGTCACCAGGGTGGAAAACGTAGCCAACCGCCTTCTTCTGAATGGTCTGGCGATGGAGCCGCCGGGCAAAGAGATAGGTCACACCAACCACGTAGGGGATGCTACACAGCAGAAGCACGACCCAGCCCGCCTCGCAGCGAGGAACCGCATCCTCAGCACGATAGAGCAAAAAGGTCAATACAAAGTAGCCGATCCAAACAGCACCCAGCATCAGGATGCGGTCCCACTTGGCCAGTCGGTGGTCGTCACGCTCGAGCGCCGCGCGAAGAGCTGCCATCGCATCGGGGCCGTCCTCAACCGCGACCTGCCGCATCGAGCCCTCGTCACCCAGGGAGGCAAAATCTGTGGAAGATGATCCTTGCAAGCCGAGGTTGGCATCATCGTCGCCATTACTGGCGACAGCAATGGATCGTCGGGCATCGCTGGGCATGGTCAGCTCAAGGCTGGGGTCCTCTTTCTCCAGCTGTTCCGCCATCACCAAGCCCGTGGAAGCTTCATCGTCCTCAGCGTCGTCAGCAGGCATGAGCTGCTCCTTATCAGAGTCTTCGAGGGCCGGCTTGTTAGCGTCAGCGCCGATCCGAGCGGCCAGCTCCTTCTTATGCATGTTCCATGCCTTCTTCAGAGTTTTGTAGGAGATAAACCCCAGCAGAAGACAGAGCGGCAAGAGCACGAGCCAATTTGGGAAGATGACGTTCAGGATGACACCCAGAATGCCACCCAGCAAGGTCATGGGCTAGTTGGTTGCACACACCAGCCAAGGTCGATGGTCAGCGTTTTCGTTGAAATTGCCAGTGGGGGGGGTGGGGGGGCGGGGTTGTGATATCAAGGGTGGGCGCGGGGAGAAACGAGCCGATACCTCGAGCATCATGGCCGTGTCATAGTCAATAAGGGGTCTTTTGGGGTCATGGGGATGGCGTTTCCAGATGTTAACGGCAAACGCGGCCAATGAGAGGCCAAAAATGGTGGCCTTGGACAGCGGCACAGCGCCATGTGCATCCTCGCCTGCGTGCAACGACAAGAGATGGCAGAGCGATGAAGTTTCGGATGAGCAAGGGCAGCCAGAATTGCCTTCATGGGACGAAACACCGCTAACATGGCTGTAAAAGCCAGCAAGGCGACACGTTATGCCTAGACCAAGCCCGTGGGTATCCAGGTCTGCACGTCCTTTCCGCTTGGAGAAAGATGTGCACATGCATGCGCCGACATGGATTGCCTCATCATGGCTCCAAAACTGTCAAATCAAATCTTGGCCAGACGTACCGAGGACCAAAAAATAAATGGCAACAAAGGTGGCACCACCACCGATACCAGCACCAACATTGAGGGCGGCACCCAAGAAGACGAGTGGCACTGCCAAGCCCCAAGCAGCTGCCCCGTGCATGTCTGCCGTTGAATGAAGCCAAAGTGTTTTAAGGGTCCGCCACGTTGTGGGACGGCAGTCGGAGCTCCGGCTGAACCGGCACCCTCGATGCTTCGCAAGCCCCCGACAGAGCGCCTCTTGATGTTTTTGTGCCCACACACCAAGGAAACCCACCGCCGCAAAGACAACAGACAAGGCAGCAGACAAGGCAGCAGCACAGGCCGTCAACCAGAAGCAAATGCGCCGCTGCCCCCCTGCCCACACACACTACACACACCCACTACACACATTCTCTCTCTCTCGCACACAACGTGATTCTGCTTACATGTTTCATGGTGTGTGTGTGTGTGTGTGTGTGTGATGATGGCACGATGGCACGATGTTCTTGCTCAAGCAAGGCGTAACCGTTACGATGGAGTGGGTTTGCTTGTTTATGGAGACCCATAGTCAACTCGTTGCGACTGGCTTGCCGTGCTGGTGGAGCTCTCGTCTGTGCCGCGTGTGGTCGGGGGGCGGTGGATTGAGCTGCAGCGCCGTCTGGGTCATTGAATAGGCAGGCGCTGCCAAATTGTGTAGAACACAAGAGGTCTGATGTTTCTCCCAGACTCATACGGTGATACACTCGGCGGGCACAACTCGGAGCCAAATTGGTGCGACAAGCATGGTGCAAGCAACCACATGGCAATTCAACTTTCTTTGCACCGTATCAATTCAGAACACCTCAACAATGGAGATTCCCTCCACTTGCAGGACAATCAATGGTATAACGGGGGAGGCAGCCCACCGCCGCCGCTACCATCGCCTACAACCCAAGCGTCAGCAAGCCTGGTGGATGGATATGCTTGAAATACACACACATGTCAGTGAAAAAAACTAACATTCGGGATGAAAAGAAAAACTGCTGATGGTGATGCTGGGTGGCCAGAGAACTGAGCAGTCATGGACAGTCGCACTCCAACTCACTGACAGCTTATCGCCGTGCCAAGGTACGTTGGTCATGCCAGGTGTGAAGAAAAGTGCAAACTTGGATTTCTTCGATTAACAATGGAAGACTTGTATAGCATGCATGACAAGGGCGTGGCACCCTTGACTAATACGAGGATGAGCAAAGCCAAACTAAAAAAAAAAAAAAGAAGGAAGAAGAATGAAACTAAAAGGGGCTTTAAAGCACAAGCGGGAACCTAGCAGGCCTAAGACGAGAAAGCAAACACTTTGCGTGTGCACAAAGCCATCCCGAACAACATTTGGAACATTAAAAGTGAAGAAGCATATTATGCACACGAACATGGTGCATGGGGCAGGGATAAGGCGACAAGCAAACGAGAGGAGGAGAGTTCGGCCAGCACACGTCACCCACTCGAACCAACGCACGCTGGCACGAGCAACAATGCGACTACACAGATTCGATGGAGCTAAAATAGTCGGTCGTGTCGTAGTCGGACAAGGTGTGTCTGAGCTGGCCCATGACGGGGGCGTGATAATCACGTGCACCAGTGGCCAAATCCAAATCCTGCCCCTCGCTGTCGTCCACCAAGGGAGACTCACAGCTGAGGCTAATCCGCAGGGTGACCAAGGCATCTAAATCAGTGATGGGAACTTCAAACCAAGGCTCGCTTGCATCGAGAAAGGCCGTGACCTCTGAAATGTCTGCACGGTGGTGCGGGGCTGGGTCCAGCATACGATGCAAAAGGTCAACCAGCGCCGCGTTGAGGGGTTCACCGCCGTTGTTCTCGAGGCCTTCCAGCCGACCCAGCTCGAGATATCGAGTGTAAGCAGGATCTTGGAGGTTGGCTGAGGTCCAGGGCAGGTCGTGGGTCAGGCATCCATACCAAACGAGTCCCATTGCCCAGACATCCTGTGCCGTGCTGCAGGAGGTACCACCCTGTAATAACTCGGGGGCCATGT